TGGGACCACAGATTGTAGGTGTGGTCTGTGGATTGGCCACCCAAAAAGGGGGGAGGTGACCTAGAACCACGGTCAGACCAACAGACCGTTTGTGGGACCATGGTCTGTGGTTAAGGGCCCATGGTCCAGATCCCCAATTCCCACTTTCTGACTCCAGACGATGTACTGACAGGACAGGCCATCGGTCAGACAATGTTGCGTCATTTGGGGTCCGTGGGTTGTGGCTGGCCGTTGGATCTTTTCCTAATTATTTTATCCTAATACTATGTCATTTTAACCTTTACTAAGATCCTTATATAAGTAATTTAATGCCCAAATTTCCCCATTAGAAATCATTCTCTCAAATTTTAAACTAAGATCAAGCTCTTCCTCTCCAAATATTTCTCTCTCTAGAAGTTGTAGAAGAAAGTCAGGATCCTCCATTGCTTCCAAGCTTTTGGCATCAAGGTATGACAACGTTCATCCATGCATTCTTAACATCCATGGAGTTCCCAAATTCTCCAATTTTGTAAAGTTAGATTTCCCAATTAAGTTAGGGTTTTATTCAATTACCATGGGTTCCTTTCAATGTTGAGTTATTTGATTGATTTATGAAATTTTATGCATGTATTAAAGTAATTGCATGTTTTTAAGTTGATTCCCAATAAACCCATGTAAATCCAATGTATTCCAATTATGATGATATAATGTGGGTTTGGGTTATGAAAGAAAATTTTAATGAAATGAAGCACAAATTGATAGAATTTGCATTAATTTATGATGAAACCAATGTTTAGCCCTTCTTTTCTAGATGTTGATGATTGAAAGTGGATTTTAAACCATGAAAGGTAAATTATGAAATTATGCATGTTCTTATGAAGTTTATGAAAATGTTTTAAGGGTGCTTTGACAGTGAAGTATCAATGATGTTGTTATTATTGTGTTTTTGAAAGGATTTTCAATATACACATGTAAGCATGAATTGTGAAAGGCTTTCTCACATAAAATGAACCTATGCTAAGAAGTTGATCTAATGATGAGGCAAGAGGCAATTACCCACCCTCTCTAATTGAATGACAAGAGGCGATTACCTATTTCACATAATGTAAGGACAAGAGGTGATTACCCATGTTCCTTTAAGGACAAGAGACGATTAACCATGTTCTTTTATGAGCTATGATGAAAAGTTCATGGACGGTGAAAGGTTTTCTCACGTATGGTCAAAGGAGATATCCTATTATAATGCAAGGGGAGACTACATATGTCTCTTAAAGATAAGATAAGTGAAGCCATAATAATTACTACGGCGGAATTACGCTTAGCACCGAGAGGATATTGATATTAAAGATCTTACATGTTGAGGTCGGGTTTTCTCGAAGCAATCTACTTATCCCTTACCTATGTGCCCCTATAGGATGATGGTCTAGAAAGACATTAGCTAGTTGATCAACTTTCGCTCAGATTCACGATTCTACCTTGGCAAGTAGGACAACCCTTTTTGGTGTGGGAGACCGGGGATCATGTTATAGCTCACATGGTCTTTATGTCGATTAAAGCTCATTCCCACAATAATAATGAACTAAGGTTACTTCAAAAATTATCTCACATGTGTTCAAAATTGATAGTCACTTGCATTGATCATGGTTTTATGACTTATGGTTTCTAACTCTCAAAATACATGTTTTAGCTTGATCATTCCATACTTATGAAAATGTTCCTTTTTGGCATGATTTAAATGTTTTATGCATGACTATCATAATTGGTACATTTTTTTGTACTAATGCATACACTTGCCTACATTTCCCTAAATTTAGGGTTTGACATTTAGGGTTATCAACTTCATGGCTAGACGTTTACTTGAAAGATTTCGAGCTTTGGTGAGTCCTCATGCTTCGAGGACGGATTTTCATTGTTTCAGTTTTCTTTCTTACTTTCAGTTTTGAACCTGATGTATGGGTTATGCCCAATTTCATTATATTGTACTAGCTGGCTATTGAGACACATGTTTAGTCTTCCGCTTTGCTTTTATAAAACTTTGGACTTGAAATGCTATTTTAATTCCTTTGTTCTATTTCTTATGTTATGAATGATAAGTGGCTTGTATGGGGTCTCTCGCGGTCCTATACGCCATGTTATATCTAGGGTGTACCCCTGGGTCTGTCATGGCTCTTTTTAGCATTATTTAAATGTTTTATGCATGACTATCATAATCGGTACATTTTTTTATTCTAACGCACACACTTGCCTACATTTCCCTAAATGTATGGTTTGACATTCAGGGTTCTCAACTTCGTGGCTAGAGGTTGACTTCAAAGATTTCGAGCTTTGGTGAGTCTTCATGCTTCGAGGATGGATTTTCATTGTTTTAGTTTTCTTTCTTACTTTCAGTTTGAACCTGATGTATGAGTTATGCCCAATTTCATTCTATTGTACTAGCTGGCAATTGAGACACATGTTTAGTCTTCCGCTTTGCTTTTATAAAACTTTGGACTTGAAATGCTATTTTAATTCCTTTGTTCTATTTCTTATGTTATGAATGCTAAGTGGCTTGTATGGGGTCTCTCGGGGTCCTATACGCCATGTTATATCTAGGGTGTACCCCTGGGTCGTGACAGAAGAACACTTTTCTAGATTTTGGGGTTTTACAATTTTGTACTTGAATTTGACAATTGAAAGTTAAATCCAAAGCGGGGTTGCTCTTTATTTCTTGATTTCATGTCACTCATGGCTATATTGATGAAACATATAATTTCTTTACCTTTTTTGAATGTCGAATAAAACCCTAATAACTAGGGGTTCTCTAATGGGGTTAGGTGTTTGTTTAATGTAGTGGGTATTTTTCTATGGTTTGTTTTTGTGTTGTCCATACATGATTTTTTTCTAATTATCATGGGGTAAACTAATGGGTTAAGGTTGTAAAATTAATTCCTCCTTCCAATCTTTGGTTGATGTTCAAAACAGATTAATTAGAGTGGGTAATTAGTTCAATACTAGCAATTTACATTTGATGTTTATGACTTGCTCGAAAGAGAGGTTATGGGTCTTATCTATTTACCCTATTCTTGAAAGAGAGGATAGAATAAGGTAATGGGTTGTTTTGAATTTGCATATAAATGAGACCGAAAGGATGTTCTATGCATAGATGCTTTGAGATCGAAAGATTATTTGCGGCAATAAAGATTACATATCCTATTCATGAATCATCATCACTATAGAGATACATAATTACCACTATGTGAGATTGACTTCCAATTCTCACACCTGTAGATTGTATATTAACTCTTGATTGACTTTCACTGTTAACCATTTATTCTAGGTAAGAAACAGTTTTATAATCTAAAAAAATGAGTTAAAAATATTTAACAATAATCGACTTAATTTTTATTTATTTGGAATAACAACGTATTCAATTTGAAGTCTCTTCTTTCATAAGTGAATATCATAAGGAATCTAGAGTATTTTCAAGCAATAATTCCTTCAAGAATCTAATAAAAAATCCATATATCATCATATTAAAGGAAATATAACGAATTTTTTTATTAACTTGATTACTCATTTATATAGTTCTGAATAATTTAAGTTGGAAGTCGGTTCCATCTTCATCATCATTGTTATCTTCTTCGTCATAATTGTTGTGTACATTTTTTTTTGAGAAGGATTGTTGTGTACATTTTTCATCTTAGCCACATTACGTTTAGTTGCATTGAGAATGATAGAGACCGTTAAAACATTATTATATATACAATGAGTAAAGGACTAGGGTTTTCTAGATGTTATTACAAACTTTTGTACAAGAAAAAAGTTTGAAAGATTTTTTGGACCGAAAAAGCTTGTAATAAAATTTAGAAAACCCTAAACCTTATCCCTCATATATATTATGGTGTTTTAATAGTCCTTCACATATTAAATGCTACTAAACCTAATGCGACTAAGATGAATAAGGTCACAACAATGAAGAAGAGGATGAGTGTGATAATGATAAAACATATTTCCAACATGAATTCTTCAGAACTGAATCAATGAGTATTCATATTCATAAACATTTCTCTTCATTTTATTTCCTTTATTTGATGATATGTTGATTTATCATTGAATTCTTAAATGGATTATAACTTCCAAATGGTCTAGTTTTCTTAGAACATTCACATTTGAATAGAAATCTTAAATTTTAATACATTGTTGTGTGTAACTAAATAAAAATTATTTCGATTGTTGTTAAATATTTTAAGCTTATTTTTTTAGTTTTTCTTATTAAGAATAAATGGTTAATTCAACGTTGAAAGAAGTGATATTATTCAGATTTCCTATTTTCAAATTAAAACAAAACCTTTAACAATTATTTCATTGTTTTATCAAATTGAGTATTCACATTTGGTGTATATATATATATATATATATTTGTAATATAATCTATATTGAATATATAATAGTAGTAGTAACGCTTTTGTTTTGAAATATCGGGTTTTATTGGAAATTGATATAAAAAATAGGTGGATTTAATTGGACCCAAATTGTTGGTGTCAAACTTCTTATCAAGAGACCATGTCTAACTTATCTCTAACCTCTTCCATATCATTAAGACTATGGAAGTTGTTTGCTAGTTTTGAATATTTAAATCATGAGGCATTATAACTATCTCAGGTACTACTAAAACGGTTAAAAAATTAGTTTGTCAAAAGCAGAAGAATATATTCATACCAGTGTCATTCATCAATACGTGGAGCTTGCAAGATAAGAAAATAGTCAAATCATGGGAACACAGTCTTTTTCAATAGTTTAGTTTTGAATGTTAGCATTGATAGTTTAAAACTAGATAGTATTTCATACCCTAGATAGAGATTAATTCTTTTTTGGACAAGAAATTGTCGATTACATTGAGAAAATATGAACCCAAACGTTAATATCTATTTGTTTGTTGGGAGCCACCACAACAAGAACAATCAAATTGCAATACATATGGGGCAATCTAGACACTAGATCCTATGGCTTCTATATGAGAATCATAAAAGAGAATCAGTGTATGTCAAAAGATAGGAAGTTCATTACATTGCCAACATAGAGGAAAGGAAAATTGTTAATGGGAAACAATATACCATTATGTCTCTATGGGGCTTTCCAAGGGAAAAGTAGAAACTCACTCGCTAGTCCTTGTTAAAATTATTTTAAGGTAGTGAGATATTACATGTCACATAACAAATGTAGTTGAGAACATCGTGAAGTTATCACAAAAAATCCATGTGATGCTACCACAGATCTACAGAGAAGTAAACACACTAGCATATTACATTGTCAATCATGCCCTTGATAAAAAAGAAATAATCATTTTTACTACATTTATATCATTACCAAATAAACCAGAGATATTTTGAATTTTCTCAAGCAACAAATGACCAACAAAAGGATAAAAACTAAAAATATAAATCATATTAGGGAAGGGGAGGAACACATCATCATAAGACTACGAGTACAATTTTTTTTTATTTTCTTGAATGGTCATACACCACAAGGACAGGACAACGCACAAATACAAAGGTGAAGGATTTAACAAAATACCAACATCAAATACACAAGTGAACGATTGAGCTAATGCTTCAAGACAAATTCAACCTACAATGTCATTGATATTAAATAAGTTATGGGGAGTGAGTAAATCAAGCTAGATCGGTACCAGAGAAGAACAATGATGAGTTATATCATTCGCACAAAAGGCTCTCAGATATATGAGACCCAAAAGGGGAACACTGTTAGAGCAATCACCGCATAGATAGACAAAAAAATCAAGATAGAAAATCTTTACTGTTTCGAAACATAAAAGTTTTCTCAAAGCTGCTACAACATTTCCTACATCATCAAAGTCAACTTAGTAATGATGAGTAGAAGGAAGAATATGCAGAGGAACACAAGGAAATACTCACAAACTAGAAAAAGGAGCTCAACTCCTTGACCATCATAGCAGATCCAGAGCTTTCATAGGAGCACATAGGTTTGAGTCAAATAAATAACCCTTTGTTTGCAGATGTGACACTGGTGTGAACAAATGAGATATTATATTGGAGGCTTCTAGATAGCATCAAAACCTATTTTTTATATGGGCCGGTCACTTTTGGACCTGCCTATTGGTGGACGGACTTGTTTGTTGTCAATAACTACAGGGCCTAACAGGCCCAAAACACATTTATAAAACGTCATTATTATTTTTATAATAAAAATTCAAAATTCTGAACAAACCTTTTTTTGCAAAATCATTTTTTACATGTGGCCAATTATAATTCGGCCACGTCATTATTATTTTTATAATAAAAATTCAAAATTCTGAACAAACCTTTTTTTGCAAAATCATTTTTTACACGTGGCCAATTATAATTCGGCCACGTCATTATGTTTTTTATAATAAAAATTCAAAATTCTGAACAAACCTTTTTTTGCAAAATCATTTTTTACACGTGGCCAATTATAATCCGGCCACGTCATTATTTTTTTATTAATAAAAATTACAAAATTCTGAAAAAAATAAATGACGTGGCCGGATTATAATGGGCCACGTGTAAAAAATGGTTTTGCAAAACCACCGTTAAAAAATAATGGCATGAATGAGCCTTTTCTTAAACGGTAATGGCATAGATGAGCCAAACTTTTAACGGATGGCATAAATGAGCCTTTTCTGAAAGTTCGATGGCATATTTGAACATTTTCCCTTTATAAAATATTCTTTTAAAAAAAGTTAAGAGAATGTTTTAATTTTATAATCTTAAACTAAAGATATGTGTAATGTATCAAAATTTTATTTAATCTTCTTCTCTTAACATGTCACGTGGAATATTGAAATTAAAGAGTTAACAAATTAGTAGAAAGATATTCATTTTCAATTAGACAAAAATGAAACATAAGACAAATAAATTGAAAGAGAGAATACTTGTTTAGAGTCTCAACATTCACATAAGATCTATATTATTTTCTTTTCATGAAAAATTATGACCTTATCAAATCCCATTAATTTTAAAAATTAAATACAAGTATTTAATGGCCATGTAAAGAACCTCAAATACTCTATATTGCATAATATTTAAATAATTTAGTATATAGTAAGAATTGTGACGTATCATTGTTATAGTGCTATAAGTGGCACGCTTTGCTCCTAAGATATATATTTTCATTGACTTTGGAATTTATACTACGATAACTATTATTTTCAACATTTTATTTATGTTTTAATTTTAAATTTTTTTTATTAAGTAAGTTTCTCTTATATTAAAAAGTTACAAGAAAAAAGTTTTGTAACACCTCGGATTTGAGAAAGGGAAAATTACCCATTTCCAGAAGTTAGAGGTATCAACACACGTTGACCATCCACGACTTGTGGATGGGACCACAAATCGTATGTATGGTCCATGGTTGACACACTCACTTCCCAAAAAGGGTCAGAACCACGGCCGGACCAACAGACCGTTGGTGGAACCACGGTCCTTGGTTGGGGTCCGTAGTCTAGGACCCTCATGTTGGGGATTCAGACCACCGTCGAAGGCCGTGTAGGATGGTCTGTCATCCTAACTACAGTCCGTTAGTGGGGTCTCGTGGGTCATGGCTAGAAGTTGAGCTTCAGGGGTAGTTGGGTGTTTTCCTAATTAATTAACTGCTATACTACATCGTTTTACCCTTCACTAAGACCCATATATAAGAATTTTAACACCTAAATTCAACCCATTCAAGTCATTCTTCCAAATTAACAAAAGAAGATCAATTCTCGTCTCAATATTTCTCTCTCTAGAAACTTGAAGAAGAAGAAGAAGGGTTCAACCAAGGGTTTCAAGGTAAGCCTCCATTTTCACCATTAAAGATAAGCATTTGTCTTTGAGGTATGATAGTTTTTATCCATGGATTGCTTCCATTAATGGAGTTCCTAAATTTCCCTATTTTCAAAGTTAGAATTATCCAATTGAGTTAGGGTTTTATTCGATTGTCATGTGTTCTCTTGAATATTGATTTAGATGATGAAGTTATGATCTCTTATCGATCAATTGATGAAATAATATGATTTTATGAATATTTCCCCATGAACCCATATAATCCCCATGTTTTCAAGTTATGAATCATATGATGTGGGATTTTGATTATAAATGAATAGTTTTATTAAATTAAGCATGTATTGATAGATTTACATGAATTTATGATGAAATCCATATCTAACTCATATTTTCTAAATGTTGATGATTAACCGTGGATTTTGAACGTTGAAAGGTAAATTATGGACTTATGCATTGTCTTATGAAATCTATGCAAATGTTTTAAGGATGCTTTGAAAGTGAAGTATCAATGATAATGTTGTTTTTGTGTTGTTGAAAGGATTGTTCTCATATACACATAATAGCCTGATGTGAAAGGTTGTCTCACATAGTAAAGGGTTCTATGGTTGAAAGGTTTGCTCACGTAATTGAATCAAGGATTAAGAGATATCCTAATGAACCTGGCTTGGATTGGTTATTGAAAGATACCTTTCCATGGATTATGACTTGTCTTGGATTGGCAACATAACATGCCCTTCCATGGATAATAAGAACAAGTAAGAAATGACTATTCCATGGGATATATGCTTAGCACCGAGAGGATATTGTGATGGAAACTCTCCTATTAGTAGAGCATGGGTTTCTCGAAGAAATCTCATTATCCCTTACCTATGTGATCCTATAGGATGAATGTCTAGATAGACATTAGCTAGTAGATCAACTTAAGCTAGAAGTTATGGTCCTTACCTTGGCAGGTAGGACAACCTATTTCAGTGTGGGAGACACCGGAGGATCATGTTATTACTCACATGGTCTCAATTTTAGGTAAGGATAATTCTTCACATTAAATATGAACTAAGGTTACTTTAAGAAGTATCTCATTTGAGTTCAAAGGTTTTAATGATGTTAGTTTGCATTAACCATGTAAGTTTGTTCTGGAAGTTAGTTCAAAGGTTTTATTATAATATTCTTTTGCTAAGTGTCTTAATCTTGATATATTTTTAATATTAATTTTTGGGGTTGCGAAATTCATGATAAAATGTAATAATATTTATTGTAATATTCTTCCGATAGTTGTTTTAATCTGAATAATTCTTTAAATATTATTTATGATATATTCTAGATATAACATATCTTGGGTTCTTCGATACATATATAAATTTTCCTCCATTAATTGTTCTAATAGTTTTATATCTTCCATAGATTCTATCTAATATTGTAAATATTTGCAGTTCATTTTAATCTGTAATTATTTCTAAATACATACCATTCTATTCTTCCGGAGTCTAAATCATGTAGGTCTATTTCATACCATTCTTGATTTAATATATCTTCTGATTCGTTATCATTAAATATTTTTTCCCATATTATTCTTCTTAAATTCAATTATTTCTATATTTTTAAGTATATATAAGATTAAAGTTTTGTAGTTTTTTATCATTTCATCATGCATGTATGTAGGCATGCTCGTTGTTTATGCAGTTTTTATTTTCAACTATTCCTTCCTATCATATTCATAATTGATTAAATTCATATTAGATCATTATGAACTAGATTATCTTAACAGTTTTTGTAACAAACACATAAAAAATTACAGTATATATATAAACATCCAAATATACAATTTATGTCAAATTAAATTCTGGAATACTTCTTTATATACTACATTTGTAGCTTGATTACTTATTTTCCCATCTTCATCGAAAGTTAGTATTTTTAATCCTTTTCTCTTTGTCACTCTGGAAAGAGCAACATAAAATATATATATATATCTACCTTATTACTATCTTCCACGTACTGTACTACCTTATGACACATTATGACATACCATACCTATTTTATGACTTTTACTACTTATTTTAATGTCCACCTACTATTTTTACTATTCCTACTTTACACCTTGCAAAGTGATTTACATTACATTATATTATATCTATCTATTTATTCACGTGTATTTTGTCTGCCATCTTGTATCTTATCTTCTTTTTATCTTGTCCATGTCTTATCTTGCATGTCTGCATCTTATCTTCATCGTCTTCTTTTACTCTAAATTGACATCTGGAATTATGTTATCTTCTCCGTTGCATTTTGAACATATGTGGTCAGGATATTTGTGACCAATTAGCTTGCAATATCTGGTTAATAACTCTGTTGAAATAAATCCTGTCTTTAGTGCTAGTGTTGTAGGTCATTCTTCTGGCTTAAGTAATGATAAAATCCATCTCTGGACTTCATCCATATCTGCTTTTCTTAGCTCCCTTGAATTGGAATAAATCATTAACTGATCTCTTGCATAGTAGCTCCATATAGCGTTTCCGTTTAAATAATTTATTTGCTAGCTCTTGTATAATGGTTGATATACCAATTATTCTCTTATTGGCATAAAAACTGGTATCTCATTTTTTTGTATCTCTGGTTGCCGTTCGATATCTTCCGGTATTATCATTTCTTTTGTTAGTCCTATCTTTACCACTTGTATCGGAGGTTTTATTTCCTCGTATAATATCTCTGCTGTTGCCGTATAAAATTTTACATAAAATAAATTTCCCTTAGTAACTCTCTTATATGTAATAAATGCTTTATGTAGTTCCAGTATTCCACTTAGTTCCTCTCCGTCATATGTATATACTGTATTTAATAGTCCATAGTTATAACATGTCCTTACTAAGTTGGCGTAAGTTTTCGGTTGTGCAATTAGTTTATTATAACCTTGTAATTTTTGGGTTAAATAATCCTGGTTGGTTTCTTGGGTTGTAGATCTGGGTTTAAGGTTTAAGAATGTTTGGATTTTGTGTATATTTTCAATATAGGTTCGTGTGATGTAGTTATATGTCTTTTTCTCATTTTGGTTTTGCAAACTATCTGCGTATGTAGATGTTTGTGGTTCCACGGACATATGTCTAGGTGTTCTTTGGGTAAATGGTTTTTCAAATAGCTGGTTTAAGTTAGCATTTTTATGTTGTTTATCACTAACTTGTTTGCTTGTACCTGCAGCTATATTTAAACAAATGTTATGGGTTTTAA